ACAGGCTCCGGACGTGCAGGCTCAGCAGCCACGGCTCATGGGCCCAGCTGCTCCGCGGCATGTGGGATCTTCCCAGACCGGGGCACAAACCCGTGTCCCCTGCATCGGCAGGCGGACTCTCAACCACTGCGCCACCAGGGAAGCCCCAGAACACTTCTTTTTTAAAAGAAAATCTTGTCTTCTATCCCCTCCAGAGAACTCAATACAGGACATTGAACTCACTGCTAATTTCTGTCCAGACACCAACATAAAAGCCAAGGAACAAAACATCTCCATTTGGAAGTGGTAGCTGTTTCACTTCACGTGAAGCAATAAGAATTAAAAAGACAACACTGGGCTTCCCTGGTGGCGCAGTGGTTGGGAGTCCGCCTGCCGATGCAGGGGACGCGGGTTCATGCCCCGGTCCGGGAGGATCCCGCGTGCCGCGGGGAGGTTGGGCCCGTGAGCTGTGGCCGCTGGGCCTGCGCATCCGGAGCCTGTGCTCCGTGGCGGGAGAGGCCACGGCAGTGAGAGGCCCGCGTACCGCAAAAAAATACAAAAACAAAACCAAAACCAAAAAGACAACACTGATGAGTTTAATGAGCTACTCGGCTGATATCCGTGAACTGGGATACACTGGAAGTCAAGCCGTTTATGAGTTTTCACCAAACATCACAACAAAATAACCTTCAAATCAAATGTGCAAAGGTTCTCAACTCACATGCATTCACAAAGCCTGGCACATGCAAGAGCAATACACATTTATGCAAATCAATCTTAAAGGTGACAGTATGAAACAAAATATTCCCTCCCAATGGTTTTCCTTTAATTCAGAAGTATTTCTTTTAATTAACTGGAAGAACACTCCAGAGGTAGAGGGGAGGCAGAGCTGGAAAAGGGGTGCCGGGCGAGCCAAAGAGGTTCAGCTGATTGGCAGCTGATCTGCGGCTCCTAATCTGACACCCTCTCCCCGCCTTACACGCTCAACCCCACCTCTCCCTCCTCCTTCCCCTCCTGCTAAGGCTTCAGCACTAGGGGCACAAAGGCTCCCAATCTGGTCGCTCATCACAATCTCCGGGGAGCCCAGACCCATGGGGCGGGTGCTGACTCAGTGTCTCAGGTGAGGCCCCAGGCTCATTGGTGTTAAAAACCCCGCAGGTGATTCTGATGAGAGGCCAAGGCTGCAACCCACTGGTCCAGGGTGACCAGTGGGGTCTGCCCATTAGTGCCAGCACAAAGGACCTGCCATCCACCAGAGGAAACTACCTGGCATTAGGAGTTCAGAGACCTAGACCTAAGCTCCTGCTTTCCACCTCAGCATCAGTGGGGCCCAGAGAAAGGCATTTGGCCTCTCTGAGCCTCACTTTCCTCACCTGTGAAAGCTCAGGGCTACCTGCCCCATGTGCGCCAAGGACTGTGGTAGGGAAGGGGAGAGGAGGATGACAGGTGGAGGTCCCTGCTTGTGCCAGGGTGTGACACAGACAGGCACTGCTGCTGTGGTTGTCATTATTACTGTTTAGTTTATCACATTTATTTGAGGTCTTCTGAACTTGTTTCAGAGACGTTATATACTTTAATACATGCTGAAAAGTGCTGAAAAATTGTTCACTGCAAAAACAATAATTTAAAAAGAAAAATATACATAATCCTATCCTTTATCAAATCATGTTCTCATATACTTTTTTTTAAATAGATCTTTATTGGAGTATAATTGCTTCACAATACTCTTAGTTTCTGTTGCACAACAAAGCGAATCAGCCATGTGCATACACATGTCCCCATATCCCCTCTCTCTGAGCCTCCCTCCCATCCTCCCTATCCCACCCCTCTAGGGACATCGCAAAGCACGGAGCCGATCTCCCTGTGCTAGGCTGCTGCTTCCCACCAGCCAACTATTTTACATTCGATAGTGTATATATGTCGATGCTACTCTCACTTCGCCCCAGCTTCACCTCCCACCCCATGTCCTCAAGTCCATTTTCTATGTCTACCTCTTTATTCCTGCCCAGCAACTAGGTTCATCAGTACATTTTTTTTCTTTTTTTTAAGATTCCATACATATGCACTAGCATACGGTATTTGTTTTTCTCTTTCTGACTTACTTCACTCTGTATGACGGACTCTAGGTCCATCCACCTCACTACAAATAACTCAATTTTGTTTCTTTTTATGGCTGAGAAATATCCATTGTATATATGTGCCACATCTTCTTTATTCATCTGTCGATGGACATTTAGGTTGGTTCCAAGTCCTGGCTATTGTAAACAGTGCTGCAATGAACACTGTGGTACATGTCTCTTTTGGAATTATGGTTTTCTCAGGGTATATGCCCAGTAGTGGCATTGCTGGGTCATATGGTAGTTCTATTTTCAGTTTTTTAAGGAACATCCATACTGTTTACCATAGTGGTTATATCAATTTACATTCCCACCAACAGTGCAGGAGGGTTCCCTTTTCACCACACCCTTTCCAGCATTTATTGTTTCTAGATTTTTTGATAATGGCCATTCTAACCGGCGTGAGGGGATACCTCATTGTAGTTTTGATTTGCATTTCTCTAATGATTAGTGATGTTGAGCATCTTTTCATGCGCCTGTTGGCCATCTGTATGTCTTCCTTGGTGAAACGTCTATTTAGGGCTTCTGCTCACTTTTGGATTGGGTTGTTTGTTTTTTTGATACTGAGCTCCATGAGCTGTTTGCATATTTTGGAGATTAATCCTTTGTCCATTGTTTCATTTGCAAATATTTTCTCCCATTCTGAGGGTTGTCTTTTCGTCTTGTTTATGGTTTCCTTTGCTGTGCAAAAGCTCTTAAGTTTAATTAAGTCCCATTTGTTTACTTTTGTTTTTATTTCCATTACTCTAGGAGGTGGGTCAAAAAAGTCTTGCTGTGGTTTATGTCAACAAGTGTTTTTCCTATGTTTTCCTCTAAGAGTTTTATAGTGTCTAGTCTTACATTTAAGTCTTTAATCCATTTGGAGTTTATTCTTGTGTATGGTGTTAGGGAGTGTTCGAATTTCATTCTTTTACATGTAGCTGTCCAGTTTTCTCAGCACCACTTATTGAAGAGGCTGTCTTTTCTCCATTGTATGTTCTTGCCTCCTTTGTCATAAACTAGGTGCCCATATGTGCATGGGTTTATCTCTGGGCTATCTATCCTGTACCATTGATCTATATTTCTGTTTCTGTGCCAGTACCATACTGTGTTGATTACTGTGGCTTTGTGGTATAGTTTGAAATCAGGGAGCCTGATTCCTCCAGCTCCATTTTTCTTTCTCAAGATTGCTTTGGCTATTCGGGGCCTTTTGTGTTTCCATATGAATTGTACAATTTTTGGTTCTAATTCTGTGAAGAATGCCACTGGTAGTTGGATAGGGATGGCATTGAATCTGTAGATTGCTTTGGGTAGTATAGTCATTTTCACAATATTGATTCTTCCAATCCAAGAACATGGTGTATTCTATCTGTTTGTCATCTTTGACTTCTTTCACCACTGTTTTATAGTTTTCTGAGTACAAGTCTTTTGCCTCCTTAGGCAGGATTTTTCCTAGGTATTTTATTCTTTTTGTTGCAATGGTAAATGGGAGTGTTTCCTTAATTTCTTTTTCTGATTTTTCGTTGTTGGTGTATAGGAATGCCAGAGATTTCTGTGCATTAATTTTGTATCCTGAAACCTTACGAAATTCATTGATTAGTTCTAGTAGTTTTCTGGTGGCATTTTTAGGATTTTCTATGTTTAGTATCATGTCATTGGCAAACAGTGACAGTTTTACCACTTCTTTTCCAATTTGGATTCCTTTTCTTTCTTTTTCTTCTCTGATTGCTGTGGCTAGGACTTGCAAAACTATGTTGAATAACAGTGGTGAGAGTGGACATCCTTGTCTTGTTCCTGATCTTAGAGGAAATGCTTTCAGTTTTTCACCATTGAGTATGATGCTTGCTGTGGGTTTGTCATATATGGCCCTTATTATGTTGAGGTAGGTTCCCACTATGCCCATTTTCTGGAGGGTTTTTATCGTTAATGAGTGTTGAATTTTGTCAAAAGCTTTTTCTGCATCTATTGAGATGATCATATGGTTTTCATTCCTTGATTTGTTAATGTGGTGTATCACAGTGACTGGTTTGCATATACTGAAGAATCCTTGCATCCCTGGGATAAATCCCACTTGATTGTGGTGTATGATCCTTTTAATGTGCTGTTGGATTCTGTTTCCTAGTATTTTGTTCAGGACTTTTGCATCTATGTTCATCAGTGATATTGGTCTATAATTTTCTTTTTTTGTGATATCTTTTTCTGGTTTTGTGTATCAGGG